ATTCTCCTTGCAGAGCGTGATGCACAAAAATGGTTCCACGATGAGCTCGGCAAGCACATGCTGACCAAGCATGAAGGCACACTGGGGCCATGCAAAGACCTAGGAGACGTAGACGAAATAAGATGCCTCAACAGACTCATTCGCTACGTCAGGGTTCCGTTCACAGGGGAAGCTCACGAGTTCGTTGAGTGGGGGCCGGACCCGAGGCACGCAGAGATTCTGATAGCTTCTTTGGGACTCGCCAAGGAGTCAAAATCGGTAGCCACCCCTGGTGTCAAACGAGCAGCTGGGTCCGACGAGACACCGTTGAGCACGCAAGAGCGGGAGTCTTATCGTAGCAATGTCATGCGCTTCGCTTACCTTGCCCTGGACAGGCCGGAGTGCCAGTTTGCATCCAAAGAGCTAGCGCGGTCGATGCAAGCGCCGACCCGGGCCGACATGGAGGCTTTGAAACGTTCTGCGCGGTTCTTGGTCGGAGCCGGACGGCTTGTGCAGCGTTTTCACATGCAGGAAGACCCGGGGCGGGTGACCGTGTTCACGGACAGTGACCACGCCGGGTGTCTGAAGACACGGAAGTCCACAAGTTGCACTATGACGTTCTACGGCAAGCACATGGTGCGTGCAACTTCTACGACACAAGGGGTCATCGCCCTTTCTTCTGGCGAAAGCGAGTTCTACGCTGCAGTCAAGGGTGCCTCAGTGGGTCTGGGGACTGTTCAGATGTTGCTGGACATGGGAGTCCACGTAGCTAAACCAGTGAAGCTGTTAGTCGACGCTACAGCCGGCATCGGCATTGCAAGCCGCAGAGGTGTCGGTAGGATCCGTCACATCCACACACCGGCGCTGTGGTTACAGCGTGCCGTCCATGATGGCAGAGTGCTCATGGACAAGGTCCACGGGAAGGTGAACCCAGCAGACGCTGGCACCAAGCACGTGGACGCCAAGGCGATTCAAGGCATGCGGTCGCTAGCTGGATTCGTCGTTCTTGCTGGGGCCAGCAAGCGAGCCTTGAAAGCCACCCTGCGCTAGGAAGCGGCCACGGTGCCTGCTCCTAGCCCGCAGCTTGGGCCGGTCGCGCTCCTTGGGGTCAGATCCACGGCAGTGCGAGGAAACGGCGTTTGAGCCAGCTCCTCCCCCGAGGGCGGCGGCACAACACCCCAGCAGGGCTACGGGGGTGCAGGTGCCCACCTTGGCACTCGCGCTTGGCGCTCTCCCGGCGCCACGAGACACCGAGAGAGCAGGAGGAGTGCATGAATCTCCTGGCACTCCCCTGGTCTGAGTCTTCTGCAGTGTAGCTTGAAACGTGAGCTCAGGGAGCATGCAGTGAGGGAGGGTTAGGGGCATTAGCAGTAGTAGCAGCATTTTGCACTCATCCGTAACTGTGATGGCTTAGTTGCGATTCGAGCGTTCGCATAAACGCTAATCGTATATACACTGTTACACATATATATATATATATATATATATATATATATATCGCCCTTCTAGGTCTGTCTGGTGGCCCCGTCTGGACTCTTCAGGGTACGGGTGATATATATATATGTATATATTTCAATATCAATATATATCATTATATATAATGATATATATATATATATATATATATATATACAGACACACTGTTTTTTCGCCCTCCTGTGTCAAGTCCCCTCCCAAAGGGTTAGGGATACGCCCATTGCTTATCAAATCTGTTGGGATCGGAGAATTTCTTAAACCTACACGTTCGGAGGTCCGCGTGGATTTTTGGATCGGCGGTGGACCCCCCTGGCGGTGCCTCCGGCGCCGCCCCTGGCGCGCTCCGCGCGCCAGCAAGGGGGTCCCAGCGCCGATCCAAGAAATCTTCGCGGACCTCAACAAGGTTGCGTTTATGTTCCCTGAAAGTCGTTCCACAACATGCTGGAACGCTTTCGGAGCGGTCGGGAGTGCTTTGAGAAGACCGCGGCGCCCGATACATCCTTCAGAACCGCCGGATCGCAGGGGAGATCCCCGCCAATGGCGCTGCAGGCCTTAGGTTGTTCAAAGCAATAGACTATACTTGCTTTTGTTTGCCTTGCTTGGATGTCCTTGCGGGTTTCGGGTCTCGGTTTTTCGCTCGGTCGCTCGCCGTTGTGTCTTTCCTCTGGCCTTCGCTCGTTCGTCTTTTTCGGACCCTCGTTCGGTCCTGTACTGCCGAGAGTTAGCGCTTGATTCTAACCGACGTCCAAAATCGAGGAGATCCCCGACTTGTCCCTGTCCAGTTTTGTCCTGGTCCTGTCCTCGTCTTATGCGGCGCCCCCGCACCGATCTAATGCCGCCGCGGTGCCTGGCCCGGCTGGCGGCGGCGGCGGTGCCCACGACGGCGCCCGCGACGGCGGGCTGTGGGGCCGAGCAACCGCGTCCTGGGGTCGGCCCCCGTCCGCGCCTGCCGCTTCCGCGCCGCTCTGCCCTCCTCTCTTGCCTCGTCCCCGCCCCCCTGCTTGCAACGTCCATCTGTAGCGGCATGGGTGCAGTGGTTCCCGCCAGCGACAGGTGCACGCACGCTCAGTATCGGTCAATTCTCCTCGTTCGTGACATTGGCTCGGATGTCGCGCTGTTGTTGTACGCTTCCTCCTCCCAGGCATCGCCCCCTGCACGACAATCACCGAGCGCGTTCCGCTACTCGCACAGTGCCTAGTCACAAGCGTCCGAATACACACACACATTTGCCTCGGCGTAATGGATCGTAAGTCCCCCGCGGCGGATCCAGGCCCTTTGCGAGTAGTTACTTTGCGAGTAGTGGAACGCGCTTGTCTAATGGAGGGTTTGTTTTCCAGACGCGCCTGCGCCGCGCCCGCGGCTCGAGCCCAGGCGCTCCGCAGAGGGTGCGGGCCTTCGTCGAATTCGGCAGGCACGTGGCCAGCGAAGATATGGCCTTTGCATGCGTCCACGGGCTGATTGGATGAGGTGTGAGCGCCAATTGGGCAGTGCCTCGTGCGAGAGCCAATTGGGCGGTGTCCTCAGCGCCCACTGCCGAGGCGCATAATGCCAATGTGCAGTTCGCCGGCGAGGTTTGCAGGCAGACCTCGTCCTTGTACTCCCTCCCCGCCCTCACCCGTTCTCCTTCTCCTTTGCCCTCCTCCTCCTCCTCCTCCTGCTCCTCCTGCTCCTCCTCTTCCTCTTCCTCTTACTACTCTCCTCATCATCGTACCCTCTCATGAGGAATCATGTTGAGGGTGTTCGGGTACGCTGAGAGAAATATCGGAATTCGCAACCCTTGTCCCGTCTCATCAGCTCAGTGTCACGACCCAATGTTTGTGAGCCCGGCACGGTGGTTCTAGTGCAAAGGGATGAGAAGGTGGTGGAGATGGGTGTGGCGGACGGTATGTGGGAATTGGGGGATGTGGAATAGAGGGGAACAACTGGGTGGAGGAGAAGGATAGAAGCAGTCATAGGAGGAGGACGAGAGCGAGAAGGAGACAGGAGGAGAAAGGAGGAGGAAGAGGAAATGGAAGAGGATGATGATTGTTATGAGGATCGCCATCTCAAGACGGAGGCTGAGGGAGAAGGAGGATGTGGGTAGGATGAAGACAGGGAGGGAGAGACGGAGGAGGAGGAGGGGTTTCGTCCACGTCTCTATCTTGCACCCCTGCCACAAACGTTTCGGGTATCGCTATGTAGCACATATTCCACTTAGACATTTGAATACTAAGTCGACTTACCCATGTCTGTGCGTGTGTGTGTGTGTGTGTGTGCGTGCGTGTTGCCAACTCGTTCTGTATATGCGAATGTCCACCAGCCGAACGGAAGAGCTCTGGAAATATCTCCCTGGAGCTACGTATGTACCGTGGGCAGCAATCCCCTGCTTTCCAGTTCGACCCTGCTGGAGGCATTTTGCAGACGACAGCTGCACGCTTGCGATCAAAGTGGCCCCTCCGTCGAATGAGAATGTCGATGCACAAGTCGAAAGTCCCGTGGCCAAGCTCGAGGAAAGTGTAGCCATGCTCAGCACTACTCCGCGTCATTTGTAGAGTTTCTGGGGGTGCGGAGATTGACCGAGGCATGATCCAACTCTTGAGGCGCCTTTGGCCCGTCTGCGAGGAATTTTCTTGGAACGTTTGTAGGAACTGTATGACGGCCCGCCTTCGTGCCGCTTGGAGCTGCCTTGGGAACGCGTCGACAGTCGTTTGTAAGCAACATGGATCCGTGAAGGATGGCAGACAAGGCAATCTAACAGCACACGTTTTGGATCTGGGGGGATGTCCGCGGGCTACCGTGGATGGTGGTGGGGCACTTTTAGAGTGGCTTGAAAGTTGACGCCATCGGTCACGACTTCTGTATACGGGCCTGTCTCGTTTCCCTGACGCTTCACGAGAAATATGGAGGAGGAGGAGGAGCGAGGGCGAGTCCTCAGGGCATGCAAACAAGAAGGGGCCCAACAAGTACCAGAAAGCGATACCGAAAGCATCGGTGGCCAGGACATGGGCAAGGAATTCCTAGAACCCCCGCCTTCAACGGATGAGTAAATGAGGCCGCGTGCCCGTAGGCTCATGAGCAATGGCACGAGCGTGTGCTAGACAGTATAAAGCTGTGCCCCTGATAATCACACCTGGGGGATAATAAAGTTCGGGGCCCAAGGGGGGGATAATAAATGATATGTCCCAGCAAGTCGCACGTAGGATGTATGACGAAGAAAGATGAGGTCGTCGACGACGACGACGACGAGCAGGAGCAGGAAGCAGGAGCAGGAGGAGCAGAAGGAGCAGGAAGAGCAGGAGGAGCAGGAAGAACAGGGGTGAGATCCGCAGGATGAGCAGGAGCAGAAAGAGGAGAGGGGGGAGCCGAACGTTCGTGACTTGCGAGAGCTGAAATGGTGAGAACCCCATTGCCATGCCGTGCGTGCTTGATGATCTTGCTACTCAACATAAGAAGATAGCAACTTCGATTCGTCATTCTCCCCCGCGATAATGAAGTTCGGCCGTGCCGCCGCTCTCCCCTGACCAACTCTGTCTCGGCTGGAGAGCAGCAACTCTCAGGAGGGAATGTATGATCCCGGGTATGCGGTTACTTGCGCTTTGCTGCTTCCAACGCGGTGCAGTAACTCTAGGCGACGACGACCATGACCACGACCACGACCACGACAACGACCCTCCCCGCTCCTGGCGCCGCCGCCCAGCCCTGCCGGGGCCCGCGCCGCCGCCGCCCCGCGGCACGGCGGCCCCGGCCATCGCCCCCGGCGGCCGCGTCATCGTGGTGCACCCGGCCTGCTCGGCGGGCTGCGGTCCGGCCGCCTGGTGTTGGCAGGGCATTTCGGGTCGGGCGAAAGGGGGGGATTGGGAAAGGGGGGGTTACGAAATTTGCTGCATGCAGCTGGTTTTGGCCTCACCGAGGGGCCCATTCCTCGATACATAGCCGCCTCCGGCGCTGGGAGGCGCCGGGGAAATCAGCTACGTGAGCTGATTCTCAAACCCCCCCTTTGCTATCCCCCCCTTTCGCCCGACCCGAGCATTCTCGGGGTCGCGCACAGACCTTCGAATGCAACTCCTGGGAGATTAGAGATCCAGAATCGGCGCTGCTATAGCACTGGTTGAAAAGTGGTTGCAGTTGGTCTATTCCCGCTGATTCCAGCTTCGCGCCGGTTAATCCGGCTCAATCCCGCTTAATCTTGAGCCTAATCCGGGCGAGTTCGGCTCAATAGCCCCGTAATCGGGCTTAATTGGCCATAGTCGTCTCCCAGAAGCTGCCTCCTGACAGACCCCAGACATGCTCGCGTCGAGATTCGAGGATCGAAGCTGGGTTTCGAGTTGTCTGTTTGAGGCTTCCAGGGGGCTCCTCGTCGCCAAGGCGGGATCGGGGAATAGACTTTTGATCCCGAAGTCCCAGATGTCGCAGGCCTAGAGGTAGACACCAACACCAGTACCGGCGGTGTGCCTCCACCGAGGGAAGAAGATCCCGATCTCGGTGATGGTGTTACTATTCTGGCTTCCAGGGTGACCGACATATCCCCACCGACACGGAAATCTAGGATCATCTTCCCCCTGTGGAGGCAACTCTTTGCATTGGTGTTGGTGCCCATTTCCAGGCCTCCCGAGAGGTGGATGCCCGCGTCGGGGGGCTCGTGCCTGCTTTTTCCGCCTTCCGGCGCCCTCGCCGGGCCTCGGGACTGTCAGCGAGCAGCTCGAGACGAGACACCAGCCCTGGGGAAAGGGTCAGGACTCCAGGGTTAAGTCGGCCTGTCCCTCCACAGGAGGAATATTCAGAAATAGTCAAGGACTAGTCCAGGGATGTTTTTTCGGGCATTTTGTTTACTAGTTTTGAGCATTTAGGGGGTATTCTTTATCTGTCGTCCAGGGTCCGCCTGTAGGGGCACATGCCCGACCTGAGCCTCGGGACTGTCAACAGATAGCTCGGGATGAGATACCGGCCCTGGGGAAAGGGCCAGGACTCTAGGGCCCCCCCTGTATCGAAAGAGTGAGGGCGTC